GTGCCCACCGCCGCCGCCGCAATGCCCACCGTGTTCCTCCCGTTGCAGAGCGGCGGCGACTCCGCGGCCACGTCCCCGGACACGGGCGAGCCGCCGCCGCCCGGCGCCGCCTCCAAGGGCGCCGGCGACACCGACGGAGACGCCCGCTGCGGCTGGTGCCTCTTCCGCCCCGGCCTGCTGCAGCGCTTCCGCACCGCCAAGTGGGTGCTCTTCTGGCTGTGCTGGGCCGGCACTATGCAAGGTAGGTGCCCGACGCTTGTGTTGACTGATCCGGCAGCGAAGGGGATTCCCCGCTTTACTCATGTTCGTTGTTTGTTTCGAAGAAAGTGTATTATTTATATGTAATTGTACATTTCGCGTCACTTTGTTGGACGCAATTATGCTCGGAGAAAATATTCCGCAGTCGTAAAGAAATCTAAATTTTGACCATGTTACAGAGTAATGTTTCAAAAAATTCAATTAAAGTAAATTATTGTTAGTTATCGTGTTGCTACTTTCTCCCGTTTTATGTTTTGTCGTACGATTTGTAGTAGACGGGCCGACAGTAGCTGTTCTCTCGATAAGGATTTGTTGTCAAGAAAGCTCGTAAACCATGTACTCATAAACAGTTTTTTTTCATGTAAGTGTCAGACACGTATGGGTGAAATGTTTACTGATTCGAAAGCAAAGGGACTCCCTGCGTTACTCGTATTCGTTGTTTGTTTTGAAGAAAGTGAATTGTTATTCAACGTCAGTGTATAGTTATTTTCTCACATTTGATATTTTGTAATATAATTCGCGGTTAATCATTTCAGTAGCTATTCTCTCTATTAGGATAGTTTGTCAAGAAAACTTGCAGAATATGTACTCACTACATTATTTTTCACATTACACTTCTAAGGGTCAATAATTTTCTGGTGCGTTTTTACATTTGAGATCAACTAAATATTCGGTCAATTATATTATTCAGCTTCCAGAAGTAATTTTAACATTGTCAATTAGAACTGGCAGATTAAGGAATATTCTCATCGTCTATACTTGTTACTGTGTTCGGATAGTAACATTCATCGCAAGAGTAATGCAGCTTTCCAGTTATGATATGTTCCATAAGTTTTGAGATCTACCAATAGTCAACATTTTTATTCTCCGACGTTACCCTAACGAGTTGGTTTATCTATGCTGTACGATGTTCCAATTGCGTGATTGTGAATTATAGATGATACTGAAAAGGAAAGGTATGAGTGAAAACAGTCTTCGGTAACTGATGATTTGATTTCAATCTGCGATTTTTTCTCCTTACATATTTGCATAATTAATTTTCAAACAAATCAGATAAGCTACATTAATTATTGCATATAGTTTTCAACTTTAGAGAAGATATAAAATTTTACTTTCCTTATTGAAAGAAAATTATATTCCCAAAATAATTCATGCGGCGTATATCAATGTGCTTTAGTTCAGCCTTCAAAGATGTACTACTTCAACTTGCTTAATCAATGTCCAATAATTCGAAATCAAGTGCTACTACTCCTTCAGATCATTATTTCTGGTGAATCGTACCTCCAGAATAAGCATGAACCGAGTTATGAACACATGAGGCATCGCATACAAACTTATTTACACACTTTTAACCATAAATAATTAATCACCAAGATGTTTTCTAATATTTTTTCCAATGTTAAAACATAACCGATTAATCCGCTAAGCGAAATCAAGAAGTATATTTTCTTTATTTCATGGAGATGTGTAAGCAAATAATTGCACGTAACTGATTTCTTGACATCCATTTTTTACTACTAAACTCAAGTGTTGCCAATGTGTTATATTTAAAAAGCTCCACAACTCATAAATAAATGTATAAATTGTTTGAAGTCTCAGTGAGTTACTGAGTTTTCGGAGGGATAATCACATCGTAATCAATTAGGGAAAATATCTATCTTCTACGCGAATATTACGTGAAATCACGTATTAAGTACTTGAAAATATCCTCAGAAAGGTGTCTATGTGTTTGGGACAGAACAAAGTGTCCTTCAACCATTCACATTCAGTACAACGAATCTCCCGACTTGCACTACAAAACAAGAGCTTTCCATATTAGATAGTAACAAGCCAGGAAGTAGAGGCGTTATCGTGTAGGGCCCCAGGCACAATAATTGGGCATTGAAGAGCCGCAATTACGGATCGCCTATCGATCACGGCGCTGCGAGGCACGGCAGATCGACGCTTCCTCCTTGGGGCGGGTCGTCGACTCCGCGTGTTGCGAGCGGCGCGGGCGCGGGCGCGGGCGCGAGCGGAGGCGGGCGCGGGCGCGAGCGGAGGCGGGGGCGGTGGCGAGGCGGTTATCGTGATCGTAAAGGTGCTCAGCGTGGCGCCGCGCCACGCTCTCGGACGCGAGTGAGTGCGATAGCATCCGCGCGATTGGGCACGTTGCGAGGCCTAGGCGGCGGCCACCCCCAGCTCCCAACCCCCCTCCCCCGCGCTTGACCTCCGGCGCTAAGCGCCCCCACACACGCGGCACAGTGGGGCGAAACGAAGAATGGGCTTTCGAAACACAACTATGAAATGCACGGTGAGAATGGCTGGGAATGATTTTTTTTTTACTTACAAACAGCTGAAGATGTAAGATGATGTGGCTACTGATTGATCCAAAATTAATACACAGGAATGATGAAGACCAGTGTATTGAGTCTTAACACTGCTTTGAAATGAGGTAGTCATATGAGTTATTTTTATTTCCTGAGGTTTCATCAAAATAAGTTGACCTCTTTAGAGAACTGATGCAAAACAGTGTTGTAGCTGTATCCTCGATGAGTTTTCTATCAGTTGTGAAAAGAGGTCAAATTTGTTTTAATGAAACTTCAGGGGGAATTTATATATACAATGATTACTATACTTGAATGCTTTTTAAAAATGGAAGTCGTGTACGTGTGGAATAGGCGTATGTAATTCAATAGAAACTATTTTGTAGGGCATGTGAGCTGAGATAAGCTGTTAGTGCATTTTATTAGAAAATACATAGGAACTTTTGCTTTGACCGATCGCAATGGGACTTTATGATCAGGGCAGAGGCCGAGGCTCGAAGGACGGAGCCCCGCCTTCGATTTGGAAATGCGTGAGAGACGCGACTCATCTTCCTCGAATCTAGGTTAGCTTAGAGAATTATTTGTAAAGCTAACTTAACTACAGCTCACTCAGTTATTACAGCTCTTGGGGAATTACAATTCATTGTGCGCGTATTTATCCATTCGCTGAAACTGTCGAAAAAAAAGGGTGATCATTCCCCTCCTTAGAGCGTTTAATGTTTACTGCTGGAGAAGTATTAGTTTATTCCTGCCAGCAGTACAATTACTGTATACATAGATGCCTCATTTATGATTTTCTGGATTTTGGAATGTTCAAACCAAAGATTTCAAATTGGAAATTGGAAAAGAAATAATTCCTCAACATTGTTATTAGGATGTATTTGCAACTACGCTGCGTACGAGATGGGTCCTTTCGCACCCTGAATAAATGTACGAGAAAAATATCGTTCAACAGTTGGTCTGAAAAACAACAATTTTGCGAGAGAGATGTATTGAATTAAGCTTTAAGCATGCATTAAAATATAAAAGGCTCATACATGCTTTGAATTCGTCACAGATTTGCCTTTTATATCCTTCCCGGCTGTAATCCTGATCACGAGTAATTCGCGCTGACATTTATTCTTATGTAATTGGATGTTCATAACGTTAATTAAGACGATTAAAAGGTTTTATATGCTTTTAATTTTATATGATTATTGTATATTATATGTCATGATATTTAATGATAATTTTATATGAAATTAAACGGGTACATATTTTTATAAATCTTAAACATAATCCTAACAGGGATTCACAATTCACATCATGTTGAAGTGTTGGATGGGGTAGGTAAATCAATTAGACAGTTATAGATAATTTTGAATAGAGGATGTTCCTGTATTAGTTTGAGTGACATAAGAGAGTTGAAAATAAATAATTTTACAATTAGTGTTAATATAAAGTAAATTATTATTTTCATCGTTAATGAAACATTGTGATAATAAAAGGGTGTTTTTTGTTTGGTGCTGTTTCATAAAGAAGTACAATAATTGTTTTTAGTATGTTTTATTGTATTTATAATACTATATCTAAGAATTATTAATTCCAAATTACTAAAATAATAATAAAAAATAATATGAATGTCTTTGTTTTTGATATCTTCCTCTATTAATTGCAATGCAGCTTGAGATAGTGTTTACTACTAAATTTATATTTATTGAATGTGCAAGATTTCGTTTATTTTGTGACCGACTGGAGCAGCTCAGAGCATCAACTGATGTCACCGCAGTATCTCTGACTGGGGGACTCCTACGCTTAGAGTCTCGGCGGTAGCACGATTTTCGACACTCGCTAGATAGCTGGTTGAATTTAGACGCCGTCTGGAGGAGCATTCTAGCTGCCTGCTGCTTTGATTGGTAATTTTTCGAGGTTCCTCCGATCTGCAGCGTACCCTAAGAAACGCGCCGCGGACCGCGCGCGATCTTTCCTTTTTCTTTATTATCCCATCCATTATTTACATAGACATACACTTACATTCACTACAATGCCTCGCAGTCGGGATAGATTCGAACTAGGGCATTGCCCTTACAGTGAGACATTCTTAGTTGGGGAAAACTTCTGCAAGTCGACGTGCAGATCGGCGCCGGAAGCGAGGGTATAACACCGCTACCTCCCATGATAGGAAACACACAGTGCACTTACGCAAGTAATGACGCGCCCGGATCACGAAATAATCAATGATCCGTTCATTTGGGGCCACTGTGCGGGGGCGGCCGCGCGGAGAGCCAAAGCGCCTGGTCGCCGGCGGTCGAGGGGGAGGCGCTGAGACAGCAGCTCTCCGGTGAGGAACCGCGCGCGGCGGCTTTTCCCCAGAATGAAGCTCCCTCGCCCCAGCTTAGGCGGCGTTATGGGCCTCTGACCGGGGCGACATGCGTGGGAGAGAATAGCGCGCTACTGTTTAATTCGTTCAGAAACGGTCGTCTTATGAATAAAACAGGTTAATAGATCTTAAACTTTGCTCCAAAAGCAAGTTCTGGAAATATTAGGATTCTGAGAAAGAATTCGCACTAATAAGTTAAAGTATATTGATACATGAACATTATATATTTAAAATTCTAAACGGTAATTTCTTGGCTTGGCGATGTCTTTTGCGATAATTACTAAACACGAGATAACTTTTTTAAGGAGAGAAAACAAGTTT